GGACCTGGGAGTCAGACTTTGATCTTTAATTAACACTGGGAATGAGGAGAGAGGAGAACTGATGAACGTGGAAACGTTCGGGAACGACCACTGTACGAAGTACAAAGAGCTCCTCCGACATGGTTCTAACTCGGTGTCATTGAGGAACGGCCGCAGCACAAAAAAAAAAAAAAAAAAAAAAAAATGCTGTATCCGGCTTTTTCGGCCAAGCGCTGAGCGCTGTGAAACGGAGGGAAGAGAAGCACATATAGAACCAAGTGGACCGCAGCATCCTGCCACAACAAACACGACGTGGCTTTTCCATGGCACATGCAGCTGGTGCCCCCGTGTCCTTGGCTGAAACCACTGGGAGTGGTTTCAGGAACACGATCGAACTCAACGTACACAAACACAAACCGGAGGAGAATGAAGAAAGAAAACGCACACGTGTGTGACTGTCACAGCACATCGAAAGATACACGTGTTACGGTTGGTCAATGTTGTACAGATCAGTTTTTAGTGCTTTGGTTACAAATATAAGTCATTTTTTGGACCAATCTAGGAGAAATATATGACTCCTGCCAGCCATACAAAAGGTTTACGGTTCGATTCCAACTAGTCTCAAACTCTACGGTTGTCCTAAAGTCTATGCCCTTCATGGTCCTAAATCCTAGGTTGGGCATCAGGCATAAAAACTGTGTCGATTCAGGATGAAAACCACTACTCTGACGATCCGTGATGAGATGAAAATGAGCCTTTTTTTTTGTTCTTTTTTTTTCCCATGAAGCTAATAATTGCAAAGCATGTGGAAACTGGTTCAGATCAGTCAGGACGGACCAGACAGCGCTCACTTTTTAACATGTCTACCCGGCCTAAAGGCAATGATCGACTGCGGGGGTGAGAGTGAGTTTCTCCAGACCCCAGGGTGGACCCACTCACGGCTCCACTGACACTCACAGTCACCACCACAACCATTCCATTATTCACCATCCACTCTGGCCCTGTCCTTTCTTCAACATTATCAGTCCTGTCCCTGCCTCTCTGGTTAAGATCTTCCCGGAGCTAATGATGTGTCACAGAGAAGATTGCTATTGAACTACTGAACGCTGCACGCCGTAGCTCAGAGGTGCAGATAACCCGGGCTCAGCGGGTAAACACGGAACTAAAGACTCACTCAACATCCATCTGAGTAATTCAGGGCTGACATGAAGGCAGCGTAAACACAGACAGATGAAGCACACACACACACACACACACACCTACTGTACATTTGGGTGGACATTTGACATCAAAGCTTTTGTGTTGACAGATATGAAGTGTGAGAGTCTTCACATCAGACATTTCACTGCAACAACCTTTGCAATTAATTACACACATGACATTGAATAATAACAGAAACAATGTCACACACTCAGAAATATGAGCAAAAGATGAGTTTGAAACATGAAGTACGAAAAGGTAGGGATGCAACGATCCGATATTAACATTGTCTGTCTGTTCCGATATTGACTAAACAGCTAGGTCAATGGTGCCAATCCACGATATTGATCTGTTTACTCGATATTGTTGTTTGAGACCTACATGTTACACCATGTGTTAGCAGCTGTGGACAAATACAAAGACCCAGCTCTGTTTTGATTCTTTTTTTTTTTTTTACCATGTTCCAAGTAACTAAAGCATATTTTTCTCTGTCATTGTCATAATTTATTTTAACAATAAAAAAAATCTTTAAATTGAATAAAGAGATAATTTGAATAAAGAATAATTTGTTAAATTTCTTTTACAAAATTGGAAAAGTAAGATTTAAGTCAAACTTGTGGCATTGATAAACTAAGTGATGGTTTCAGGTATCGTTTGATGAGCGACGTCAGGTATCGGATGGTTTCATCCCGAACGAAAGAATAAACAGTTTTAAAAGAGTGATCAAACTCTTGTCTTACTTTGGCAGGTGCTGCTTCGCTCCTCGAAGCCTGGATTACACAGACACTTCCCGATAGGCACAAGCCACTCCCCCTCCGTGCTGCAGTACATTCGCGGCGGCTCCTCCTCTTTAGAATGATTGACACATGATCCTTTGACCTCCACCAGCGACTGCGAGTCCATGGGAACCGTATCTGGGAAAAGTGCCAGGTTCCTCACAGTGTTCGGGCACTTTTTGAAGTAAACCCTCACCGACACCAAAGCCACACAAGCGCCCACGTCTTGGAACGCCAGGTAGAAGCCCTTCTTGGTCATGGGGCCCACCTCGCGCACCTCGGTGTTGAGCTTGAGGATGCGATCTCCAAGGTCCATTTGGGTGAAGCTCTCGTCAGCCGCGATGGTGTCGATCTTGGAGAACTGATGCTCCCTGAAGTGGCTCCCCTGGTCGTCATCTGTCTCCTGGTAGAGGAGGTTGAAGGTCTCCTTGCAGGTTCCCAGGACCAGAGGGATGGAGTTGCAGTCCCTCAGCGTGAACTTCAGCTCGATGTAAATCTTCTGGGCTGACCTGCGAGGAATCCAGTTGGTGCGAAGCCAGTTGTTCTGGCTGTACTCCATCACATTGCAGACCTGGAAGGTCCGGATCGGAGTGTAGTGCTCGTCCACACCACTGATTTCTTCCCACTATAAAAACAAAAAGAGATGGAAAGAAGGAGAAGTGGAAGAAGAGAGGAGATGGATGTTGAGATGGGCGGACAGAAAAAACAAGACACAACAAAAAGACAGGAGGGTGATGATGATGAAAAAATAGGAAGGAAAAGAAAAAAAATAACCAAAGTGTTAACAATTGTAAAAAGAGATAATATGTTTCAGAAAGGCAGAGAGAGTGATCATGAAACACATGAATAAATTGAGCGAGGAAGATGTTACAGGAAAAAAAAAAGTTAAAAGTGAGAAGAATTAGAAATAGGGAAATTAGATTTGAAGAAATTAGAATAAGAGGAAGATAGAGGAAGATAAAAAAAAAGAAAAAGTTACATCCACCCTGTAAGTCATTAGAGATCAAGTACTGAGGTTGAGATTCACTTCTGCTTGATACTAAGTATCTAACAAACAATGAAGGGTGAAAAAGGACACTATCAGATCTCTGAGAAATGACTTCAAAATATTAGGAGTTTTACCAAAATGTCCTTGATTAGATTTTTATGAAAATATAAAAAATATCTCATTCCAGATTGCATGTTTATAGATCAGTTAAATAGTAAATACTATAAGAACTAATAGTGTTTTTTTACACCCTTGTACTAGGAAGTTTTTTTTTTTCATCTAGAGGTGAAGCCGTTCAAGCTGCAGTCGTGGTTAATTGCATTACAGCACTAGACTACTGAAGGAAACGTGCTCAATCCACTATGGAACAACAGAAACTAGGCAGAAGTGTTGACAGACGTGAGTGTATACCAGGAAGGATCGTGTCTATCTTACATTTTCCCTCCACTGGGAGAAAGCAATGGGAGAGGAGAGGAGAAAAAGAGAGTCGGGGTCATTCCTTTTAAATTCAGCACAGCGGGAAATCTCATTGATCATACGGTGTCGGCCCGGCCGTCCAGGCAAATCAACACTGAATCAGAGAGATGATTAATGGGCAGAAACACCTGAAACAAGGGGCTCATTGTGGTCGAGACGACAGTCACTGGAATAAAGGGGTTAGCGGTAAATGTGCAAATGGATGTGTTCGGCGTGTAGACGTCAGGATGGATGTACGCCCGGGCGGGCGGCGCGTTCTGCGGAGTTAGTCAGATGGGAGAGAAAGAGGGAGTTTCACTGGGTGAGTTCATGCAGAATGAAATATGTCGCAGCTTTCACACTCGAATTAACCAAACTGTAAAGCCACGCACACACACATATACATGGTCACGTTGGGCTCGTGTGAAGTGTTTAAAGGCTCATGGCAGGCAAACACAGCAGGTGCTCTCAGCCCGAACACAGAAAATAATGAAGGGCTAAGAAAGGCCGGGTTTCCTATTACATGATTTCCAACGTGCATGTGTGATGGTGTGTGGAAGTAAACGCCATGAATGGGCGTCCTGTGTTTCAAGGAGCTCTCTAGCTGAAGGATTGCCACTTGCTTTTCATCTCACAGCGAAGTTAATGAAACAGCCGTGGGAGGAGGGGGGAGGGAGAGAACCAGAGAGAGAGACAGAGAGACAGAGAGAGACAGAGAGAGAGAGAGAGAGGAGGGCTGAGAATGAACAAGAGGAAAGGGAGACAGAGTGAGAGGAAACTTGAGGGGAGCCACTCCATTGGTGTTTAGTCTTCCTCGTCATGCTTTGCTCGGTGTCACCTCATTCATCATTGTAGTCCAATCTCTCTGTAGAGCTAACAATAACAGGGCTAAGTGGACAGAACTGAGTGGGGGCCAAATATAGAGACAAAGCTTGACTTAACATTTCACCTGGCCTGGCTGGGAAATGGAGGAGGCCGACTGTAAATAAAAGTATTAAAATGATGGCGTGATGACATGCAAACAGCTCTGCTGACACCATCCCACCCCCCCAACCCCCCCGATACGGCAGCGAGGCAGGAACAACGGCCCCCGGCTAGCATTAGCGATGCTGGTGACAATGTGTTTGAAAAGGTAATGGACTTACTTACAAACAAAACCCAACACAGTGTGTTCTGTGCTGCTTCACATTGGCACACGGTGGATTTGTCTTTGTTAGATGTTTTTAAACACATGCCAGGATTTGAACCCACAGCCAAAAACCAAACAAAGTGTTTTATTATCATTATTATTAATAATAATAATGGGAAATTGCTAAAAATAATTGGATTCCCCTTTGACCTTAATATTAAATTAATTCAGTAATGTTGGAAAGTATCAGTCAGATGCTGTAAAAAAAATACTCCCAGAATGCAACACTCTTAGGAGCAAAAGAAAAGTTCACGAAAAAATCAGAGGTTTTAAAATTCATATGTAAAAAAAATAACCTGACACACACACTCACTCACACACACCGTGGAAGTTCAGTGTCAATAGTTTCACTGTTCTGTGACGTCTTCATAAATTTGGTTTTATTTATTTATAGCTTATGAAATTTCGCATTTTATTCTTACCATGAGGTATTTTTACACTTTAATAAGTTTTTATTTGAACCTTGGTGAGATGCCTAACTGCAACTCTGTAATATAATACTGTATAATATAATATAATATAATTTTTTGGCATATTGTATTACAATGCTACATCATAATTTTAGTTTGTGTCATGTGTTTTGTGAAGGTAAAAAGAGTATTTCTTAGTAAACACTTTTTATGTATACTGCTGAGTCAGCAGAACTGGCGTCCGATCCATTTACCCTTTTCTGTTTTCTTGCAGTACCACGTTTTGTCCAAGTGTGTGTTTGTGAGTACACGCTGACATGAGTGCACTCTATCGAACGCAGATGTCCGTGCGCTCTGCACTGATGTCTTCATGTCAAGAACCATACTGTGTACGGAGCCAAATCTAAAGTGACTCCCAGTGATGGGTCTGCGCTCTGAACCTGAATTAGACGCTCTGCAATTTCCCCGAGCACAAAACACACACGCGGGTTCCAAATGGAAGCCAGGTGAATGTGTCTCCGCGTATAAAAGAGAACCATTGTGGAGCGGAGATGATGACTGTGAACGTGTCTGAGCTGGAGCAAATGAAATCCCTGTGAGGGTCTCACCCAGAAGGATGACATCCATTATACGAGGGTTTCCCTCCTCGACCATACACAGCACAGAAAACAAAGTCACCTGACCATGAACTGAACATGACATCATTTGGTCGGACAAATTAGGTTTTCAATCCTTTCATTTTTTTTTCTAAAGTTATTTTTATATATAAAAAAATGCGATTCCGGTTCAATATATTGATACTGATTGTCGACTAAATTCCTTGTCGATTTTCCCCTAATTTCCCGAAAGGAACTCCTGAGGGATCAATAAGGTTCTATCTATGTATCTATCTATCTAATCGATTCATATTGGTTTAAAAATGTTTAATTTTGCGTTAACTCTTTAATCTAAAGTACAGACTAACATTTAGCATCGGGAAATTGTAAACTAGTCGTACATACACGGTTCTCGATCTCTGGTACGATTATTGGATTCTTAAGTTCTTCAAGACCAAAATATGTGGCCAGATACGGTTATATTTAATCACAAAACATTCAAATATCCAGTACCACAATTCGTATGTCTGATACTGTAGTTTTCTTTTTGCATTATTTTGAATTTTTTTGCAACAAAGAAAAGGCACCAACTGCCACTAGGAGTGTATGGAGCTGTTTGTGTGTCAACCAGGATAAATAAAGGTTTGAAGTGAGCAGCACAGCCTGGTGTCTCCCCGGGGGGGAGAGAGGGGGGGGACTCACCTCATCCTGCCATCTAATTGATATATAATAACCCCCCCCCCCCCAGGCCCTTGATGGTCACAGCTGGGTCACACTGTGGTGTGGTCCCTCTGATCTGTGCTGTAGGTAAGAGCCCCCAGTGGAAGGGACAGTAAAACGGACCATGGTAACATGATCCACTCAAGACGCCGAAGCTACTGCACCAGGCACGACCCGAAATCACTGAGTCAGCATGCCGGCTCGCCCACTTCAAAGGCAGTGGGTCAACGAGGGTCGCCCTCTCTGACCAGTGTAGGGTAACAATGCAATTGGGCCAAAACCATTAGTGTGTAAAGAAACACAAATATGAGAAAGGAAATATTACTCTATAAGACTATGACTTTTTTTTCACTACACTCTTAAAGTCTTGACCTCATTTCCAAGACAATCACATTATTCTACAAAATATAATAAATACTGTATGGCTATACTGCAGGAATCACTAATTATATTTCTTGGGGAACGGGGATTTTTTCAGGACAGATTCCATGAGGGCCAGACTCTCAAATAAAATGTAATAAAAAACACATTTTTATTTGTTCTAACAATATTATTTGATGTTCATAATAACTGACAGTAATTAAAGTGTCTTTTTTTACTGTTGCTTTAATAGTGGAGATCGCACCGTATTTTCTCTTTGATCCCCGTACTATTTTGGAATCCAGTCGAAGGTCGGATCGGACAGTTCCGTGGGTCGAATTAAGTTAAAGATCACTGCTGTATTGTACAGGTTGGCGTTACTACAAAATATCAATAAGTGCACTGCTTCAAAAGTGACCGTAAAGAAGTGAAGTTCCTGCCAACAGCCCAGATAAGGACCCCGAGCCTCAACTTGAGGGCCACTGTTAAAGCGTTACAGCCTTAATCAATGGAAAAACTAGAATTATTTTTGTGTGTGTCTAAATATTCAAAAGATGTAAATGTTACAATAAGAAATGAAATAACGTGACCAGGACTCGTACCACTGACCGAGTTAAAGCGGACTACAGATATATCAAGTGGACGTCCACCACAAGTATGTGGCTACCTTCAGTTTTAGGTTCCTCAGAGGTCACCGTGGTCAGACACATGACAACTGCAGCATATTTGTCAGAGGACATTTCATCAGCCCATCCTACCGGAGGGAAACCACATACTTCATACTTCCTCGTGTTCCTAATGGTTGGAGTAGTTTCAAGTTCTGGCCGTTTTACGACGACAGAAAGACGACAGAATCCACTGTTTGAACCATTTCAACAGTGGATCATTTACATTTGAACCTCTGACACGTTTTCCTGGTAATTACGTCTTCCTGCCAAAAACTACAACGAACAATATGTGTCACTTCTGCTCTGTTGTCTCGTCCAATCAAAGCCTCTCACTGGGCAGATTTCTCTATAATCTCCCACTTTGTCAAGTCTGAGAAGTGGAGGCAATGTGTGCTGGTGAGGCTGATTTCACAGACAGAGCGGCAGCAAAGCACCATGGGCTTTAAGAGCTCTTGAGTGACTTAAAAAAAAAAGTTGAAGCAGCAGTCTGGACTTTAAAAGGCAGTAGAAAAGCTGGCTGTCTGAAATAGTGGACCAGGTCCAAAGAAAAGGGCCGTACACTTTGGTGATCCGACCTCCTCGACTGGATCTGAGACTTGGGAATTTAGATGTGTTTGATTTTTTTTTTTTCCATTATTTCTAACAGGACGGCGGGTCAAAAGGTCAAGCTTTTGCATAGTGGCGGAAAAGTTTTGTATATTGAGTCGTTACAGATGAGTGAAGACAAACTGGGAGAAATGTCAATCTTTTTTTTCCGTGCGGTTTCCCATTTTGATTTCTAAAATATTATGACTATTTTCCTGTAGTAATACCACATTATTGACAAGACTTTTTCTGCTGATATTAGAACTTTTTTTTCTTATTGTATCACTTTTTTAATCACAATATTAGCACATTTACTTTATAAAATTAACTTCTATTAACTAATTCTCTTCAACTACTGACTGTTCTCAAACAAAGGGGAAGTGTTAATAATATATAAGTAGATCACAGTGAACTGACAGAACAACTCTACTGTACTTTCCTATGAAAATAAACCATGTTAATTACTGCACTGTACCTTTAAGAATAACCTCTACTTGTATCTTAAACTATGTAATCTTAAACACTGTGTAGTCTTTAGCGAAGGGCTAAGTCCTGTGGACACTGAGTCAGTGGTCATCAGCACGGCTGTTAAACAGATCAAAGTAAATCTGCACACACACACACAAACACACACACACAAACACACACACACAAACACACCGGACGTTTCCACTTCCTCTAAACTCTTAATTTGTTCTGACCAGACCTCTCCGTGGGGCGATAGCTGCAGCTTCACCCTCAGTGTGTGTGTGTGTGTGTGTGTGTGTGTGTGTGTGTGTGTGGACTCAGGGCTACATTAGTATAAATCATTTGTGAGGCTGCTTATCTGAGCACGGTGGGAAGATGACGTGAGTAATTACAGAAGATTCACCTTCAGGACTCGATCATCGGCAGTGTCTCGCTCTCCGTCCCCTTCTCGTGACCCCCTCTGTTCCCGTGTCCCGTCCCCCCCCCGTGTCTCTGTTTCATCCTTCTGCTCCCCTGTCTCCCTCCTTTTGATCCCGTCCTCTCCTGTCTCTGCTGCTCTCTGAAGTCCCTCTCATCTAAAAGTGACACCGGCCCCAATTCCTGCACCATTTTTTCTTTATTTTTTTTATGAATTCAACAATCACACACTTCTCCTCAGAACTCCTTCAAAACAAACACTTTGAAAAATAGAGCCGGGGTCGCCGCGCACGCTCCGTCGCACATTCCGAGACGTGTGCTAGATCAGCCCTGCAGTGCTGCTGTTTACTTCCCTTCTGACTCACACATGCAACCATTAGCACAACATCAGTCATCTCCGTTGATCACGCACTTGCCCTGTATCCTGTTTTTGTCTCTAGACGTTATGCATTTGAAATAGCGCGCTCTTGTTTTTTTTGTTTTTTTTTTTCTTTCTTACTTTTCCTAATTGCGGTTCGACCTCTCGGAGCAACTGAGAGCCTTTGAACGGTGCCAGTACTGTATATGTCGAAGGGAAATGAGGTTTGGCAGCTCCGTGGAACAAATGACTGGATTACCTTAAGCCACTGCCAAGGAGTAATTCTAACACTTAATAAAGAAAAGGACAAGAAAGTGTGTAGTGTGTGCACCTAGTGGTGTTTGTGTGTGTCAGCAGGCCGGCCCTGAGGCACAGTAGTCCAACAACTTAGACAAATAAACACTGAGTGAGAGCCCACTGTGGGACCGGACTGTAGAATGAGGCTGATTAATGATTCTGTGAGGATTTTTTTTTTTTTTTTGTTAAATTTGGAACCATGTCGCTGTTAAAGTATTTTCTTTATAAATGACCTCGTATTTTTAATAGAAACTGTAAAATACTGTTTAAAAACGTATCTTAATTGTGACGTCTGTGATTAATTATTGTTACAATTAATCACAACTAACCGCTTTTATTCGTAATAATCTGCTTACCGTAGTTTTAAACAGATATTTTAATTACATTAAATCGTGTTGCTGCAAAATATTTGAATCGTCAAGTTTTAAACAGATATTTTACTTACATGGAATCGTGTTGCTGCAAAATATTTAAATCATCGAAAGAATCAAAACATAGTTTTAAACAGATATTTTACTTACATGAAATCATGTTGCTGCAAAAGAAGAAAGAATCAAAATAAGTTGCTTTTGCAGAAACTCCATTAATTCTTGATTTTATGCACAAAATAAGTTGCTTTTGCAGAAACTCCATTCATTCAGATGTTTGTAGGTGCGAGCGATGATTCTTAGTAACTGTAGTAAATGTATCACGTTTATAGACTGAGGTGGTGATGTATACGTTTTAGTACTACAAAAGGCACTGTGTTCCAAAGTATTGAGGATATTATCGAACTTCCAAAACATTCACACAATTGCATCTTTGTTGTTGATACGATATGTTCTCAAAAAGAGGTTAAGCTCATTACACTGATGTGGATACTTTTGTGCCAAAATCTGTTAATACCTTAATCTTTCTCCGAGCTCACACACACGCTTAAACACACAATCACACGCACATGAACACTCCGTCCATTTTCCCTTAAGCATCTCAGCCATATGGCAAGAACCCAATGCTTAACCTCTGACCTGCGAGGAGGAGAAGGGACAAAAAAAAAATCTAAGGAAAAAGTGGGTTAATCTGCACTTGACTCATTGGGTCGGCATGACACAGTGAGAACCCAAAGGAATTTAAAAATCCCCACTCGGTGTGAGGTGGACGCCCGTGTTTTGGGATCTGTAGCCCGAATGTGAAGCATTTGAGATGACATGGTGGGTAAATATGAAGAAAGGGATCACTCACCCCATGCGATGGGTAGGAAATCCATCCTAACTCCCCCTGGCTCGCCTTAGAGTCCAACAGGTTTACTGTGGAGAGGGGAAAGAACAGGGAAGTAAGACAAAGAGAACATTTAAGTGTGTAGTCCTTGTTAGCCCCAATTAGCCCTTATCTAATCCCACAGGAGGGAGCAGCGACCTCAAGCAATGATCATGACACTACATATTCAGCTGTCTCTCTCTCTCTCTCTCTCGAACACACACACACACCCAGATACAGACACACTATTTATCCCATGTCAACCGACAGTATGAGCTGGCTGGTTTGTCTGCCCGGGTAACGCTTCAAAGCAGAAATTTGGCTAAGCTAACTGGCTACAGCACAGATATCCTAAGGATGGACTGAACCAAAGTCAAGCCAGGATTTCAAACAAATCGCAGCTTGCTCTGGTTATTGTATTTATCATTAATTCATGGCCACATATACAGCTGTAGTGATGAGATGGTAACCAGAGAGATGGACAGCAATTTAATTTTGTCAATAAAAAGAGAGAGAGAGAAATCTAATTTTTATGATGTGTCTGTCCTGCCAGGAATTAACTCTTTATAAAAAACAACACTGAACAAAGAGGGAAAAAATATTATAGAAAATTGAAGAAATTTTAAGAATCAAAGTAACGCCAAAAAACATTTTAGTGATACATAGTTTTAGCTGAGGCCTCAGGCTAACCATAGACCAGGGATGTGGTGCACGGGCTGCCACTAGGGGGTGTGTCAGATAAAACAAAACGTGATGGTGGTTTAGAGTGGCGTTTTTTAAGTTGGATTTTTCCGCAAAATAAAGACGTGTAAATAAGTGATTACTTTGTAAAAATGTAGAATTTTAAATAATTAATAAATGTGTGTTCTGGTCATTTGAACCTGATTAAACACGCTGCCTTTATAAGAAAGACTGGTGTGTTTTCTTGTTTGTTTGTTTTTTCTGGAGTGGGAAAACGGGGTGTGTCAACCCAGTTGGGAACACAGAAAGGACGCGCAGCCAAAAAAGTTTGGGAACGGCAGCCGCAGACGTCTCATATGGTGACCTTCGTGCAGCCAGCGTGGCCGTCATGTCAGTGCAGTTTATTTTTATTGTCAATAAAGCTAATTGCATCATTACTGCCCACCACCGCGGGCTAATTCTGCAGCACACAACAGAACGTGCAGGTGACTTTGATGCACATGAATAGACTCTGCTCAGCAAAGCATGTTATAAACATATGAACAAAATTAACTCTGACATACAGCATATCTTCCCTGGGCAGGGAAAAATAAGCTCCAACTTTTTCTATTATTAGAACATCCATATGTTTCTCCTGTGAGTGATTGTCATTGAATACACCTGTCAGTATGGGCTATAACATACTGACAGATGGCCAATGGTTGGGAAAATAAGGCAGCTTCATGGTCTACAGACTCTCTACCCCAGCACAGAGGGAACACTTTTACCTCCAAACAAAAATGTAAAAAAAAAAATTAAAAAAAAGGATTGGAAATAATCTGATTTATAATGAAAGAAAAATATGTTAAGATAATCATTAATTACATTTTGGGTTTTTTTATTTAATTTTTCTTACTGCTGCTACACAATTCAGGGATTGCCGCAGCGGATAATCTGACTGTATGATTTGACACAGATTTTACGGCGGATGCCCTCCCTGACACAATCCTCCCCAGTTATCCCAGCTTGGTAAGCACGCAAAGGACACAGATTTTGCCCTCCTGTGGAAGTGGGTGAAGGGATAGCACGCAACGATTCTCACTCAGTGTGTATCTACCAATCCCTGCCCCGCAGACACGGCTCTGAGGGCAGTTGTAATGCACTGGCCCATAATGTGGGTTGAGTGCAGGAGTAGAACAACAGACACACAGACACTGACATGTCAACACAGTCGTCAGTCAGGATGTTCAGTGAGAGTGTATAGCACTACTGTACAGTGAGCACCCAGATGTTTATGAGGCTGTACACCTCCAACGTGCTTCTTGTGTTCCAACGCACATTGGATAAACATCAATTTCCACAACCATAAATTACCCTTTTTTCTATGGTGCTAATTATAGTCATTTTTAGCATACTTTCACCTTTAAGCACCTTACCAAGGAACCAGTCAGAGTACAGAATTTAACTACTGCCTTTCTGATTGGACGGTGATGATCACAGCCACTTGCATTAGAGAATAATATTATTATCATTAATAATCATAATAATGCAATTATTCCTATTATTATTAAAAATAATAATATTATTACATTTAAACACAAACATTTATTTCAAGGGAAACTTAATTTCAAATCTGATTGTGCAAATAAAAATTAAACACAAAGTCTGTCATGTCTCTAATGTTTCAAAGATGGAGCAGATCTATTTACACATTCAGATCTCAATCTGAAATGTTTTCTAAGAACACAACACAAAAGGGGTTTTCCACTGACCCATCAATGATCCAACATAAAAAATCCACAAGCGGAACGTGATTAATTTATGCTGATTGTGCACATGAACACTGTTGACCTACATTAAAAAGGCGAGGACAACGACTGTACAAATGCACTTTTTCACTGGTAAATAACTGTGAAGTCATTGTGTTCTATTGAATCGATTCGGAGCGGACACATGGATGCACTTAACCAAGGAAACAGCCTCACAGAAAAGCCTTGCACTTAATTTTTTGCAAAAACTTTCACAAGAACATCAGCTTCTTTTAATTCCCGAGTTGTAGTTTCAATAATCAGAAACGCAAATGCCGCGACTACTAGTCATTTTCCACTGCTAAATCTGTCATTTTTTCAAAAATCAATGAACTCATATCAAGAACTTTTATTTTAGAAAAAACCAGGTCACAGAAACGTCCACATCCAGGTCCACCTAAGCTCCAGCCACACCAGGCCACTCAGCCAGTTGACTGGCAGTAGACACCCTGCCATTAGAGTCTAATGAAGCTATCTGTTCATGTCAGATAATAGCAGCTCAGCATCCAGGGCCATTGCTTCCAATTTACATTTCTCAACGAGCCGAGCCCACCACTCAAATTGAGCCAAGCGGGGGAATTCGAGAGCAGAAAATTAGATGGCTCTCGTGTAGCGGGGAGGAAAAAAAAGTCCCCTCCAGCTGCACTCGGCTGAGGAAGTCGGCACCAGCTCACGTATTAGGGAACACATGTGTGCTAGCAAATGCATGCGTAAACAGCGGGAACAATAACATGGAGACCATACTGTACTTCGCCTGGCAAGAAGCAGGAAAAGTAAACAATTTAGACACATGTACGGCACACGCGTATACACACAAAGTTAAAACACTAACACATACACCCTACATACGCCGTATACATGCAGAGGTGCACGCACGCATTTTAAAAAACCAAAGCTCTGAGTCAGGCCCAGAAGTGGAGCACACTGTGTTTCATGCTCTCTCCCTCACCGTCTCACACACATACACACAGTCAGTCAGTTAGCAGGCTAGCGTCAGCCAAGCATATAGTACCGGCCCCATCAGGGAGTGCCTCTAAACGGGAACTGGGAGTATTAATAGCGAACTGAGTCAGCCTGTCTGCGAGGGACCAAAACATCACTGAGGTAGAAACAGGTGAATCAATTACAGAGCAAAAACATGGGTCGCTCTGAATCAATTACAGAGCAAAAACATGGGCCGCTCCTCACACGCACACACACATGCCGTAAAGTGTTGTACCACAAAGGGGTGTAGAAAACACTAAAACCTAGAAACGGGCCTGCTGTGAGTAACGCTGCTGATGAACAGCCATTAAAGCCATGATGGAGAAGAGAAAACAGTTTCAGAGCAACAGTCACTTATTTTCCTACATTCACTATAATGGAATGAACTGGTTCCCAGCAGATGACGGTGGAAAATTAATCCCCGGTGAATGCTGGATTAGTGGAGATGAGGTCATAGAACCCAATAGAACAGAATAGAATAGAATGGCAGTGCACATGAGACAGTGAAGGAGTACAGGGAGGCTGTGTTAATGTGGAGGTTGACAGGCCGCAGTGCAGGCAAAGTAAGGCAACTTGTGTCTGTGTTAAAGGGTGAAGTGTTCACCTCCCATTATGAATTATTCAAGTCCACAGTCGCTCTGTCTGATGTTCCTGCTGCTGCTGCTGCTCCTCGCCCAGCCCTCTCTACCTCCTCCTCCTATCTTTCTTTCTTTCTTTCTTTCTTTCTTTCGTTTGTATCTTTTCCTTTTCCCTGCTTTGTGTCCTCCTTTCTTTCTTTGAGTCTTCCGTTTGTAATGCCTCTCTTTCTTTCATTTCCTACTCACCTTTCTTCCTTCTTTCCTTCCTTCCTTTCTTCATTCTTTTCTTTTTCATTCTTTTCCCTAAATGCCTTCCTTCGTTCCTTCCTTTCTTATTTGGCTTTTTTCTTTCTTATCTTTTCCTTGACTCTCTTTCCATCCTTATCTTCATTCTTTTGTTTATTTTTTCTTTGTCTTCCTTGCATCCCTCCTTCATCCACCATTTTTGCTTTGCTTTCCTTTCAGTTTCTTTATCTCTTTCTTTCTTTCTTTCTTTCCCTCAACACCAAACACAGTCATGTCCACCCTACACCTCCTCTACTACAGTCTGTCACAGTCCACTACACCGGACAGTAAACACAACCAACGTATATTAAAAAAGACAACCTTTCCTTGTCCTTCCTTCCTTTTCTTCACTCATGTTTGACCAGGAGACTTGTTTATATTTACAGAAAAATACAAAACTTTTTTTTTCTTTCTTATATGTGAACGCGCATGTGCTCATTTCCAGCACCGTTTAAAGGTGCGACCGTCGCGGCGTCGCCCCCTCGTCCCCGCGGGTCAACGTCGTGGCTCCGCGGGCCAAGCCTCCACATCGCTGCCTAAAAATATCAGAGGCCTCTGGACGCCCCGCAGAGGGTCAGACACATTGCTGCTCAGCGGCAGCAACAACACACTGGGTTCATACTTTATTTTTATTTTTTTATTTTTTTTCCGTCAAGTGTGAGGAGAAGGAGAAACAAACAAACGCGAGAAGGAGGAGGAGGAAGACGAGGAAGAAGAGGAAGAGAAGCTGGCTGATTTCAGCGACTCCAGTTCTGACTGTTTCAACTTTTGAGGAAAGAAACAAAACTATTTAAAAAAAAACAAACAAACAAACAAACAAAAAAACTAATAAACTGTGAACGAAGAAACAAAAACGAATAAATAAATAAGTCGCCAAATTCAGTTGAAAAAGTTCAACTCAATACAATGTTTATAAAATAAAAACAATAAGTTAAGTAAGTTCGTCATTCCACTCATTGGAAGCCATTACTACAAATTCAAAACCCCAGCGTTAATCTGAGATTATGCAAGTCGATAAATATTTTTTTCTATTTTGTTTTTACTTTTTTATTTATTTATTTACAATTGAACTGTGAAAAATGTATGTTTTCCCCTCCCGACTCCCAATATGTTTTAAATAGTATTTCAAACGTGTTTTTGACAGTTAGTCAGTGACGAATGGGAAAGAAAATCGTGGGTTAGAGCTGAAGTAACGACTTCATGAGAGGGAAGAAGAAGAAGAAAAAAAAAGAAGAAGAAAAAAAAAACCGAGAGCAGAGGAGAAAGTTTGTCCGAAGACCAACTCCCTAACCGGCCAGCATCTATAAAGACGTCTTAATAAATCACTCCAAAAACCAGGTACTTCCCCAGAGTCTCAGACCCTGAGACCCCTGACTGAAACTGAACCCAAGAACCCGAGTCAGCACAGAGAGAACACCGACGGTGTCACTTCACTGTTTATTTGTTTATTTTATGTTGTTTGTTCCTCTTTATCCACTCAACCTGTCACAAAATGAGCCGTTATTCCGCAGGATTTTCTCACTGACTGACTGAAAAAGGAAGTCGCGTTCGGTGTTAACTTTTTTCCTCCCAAAGCAAAGACGTTAATAAAGAATGGATTTACACAGACTGATGTCGCAGCTCCACACTGACCCTCTCTGGCTGATACATGATTTAATTCTAAAGTTTAACAGCAGTTACAAACACAGGCCCATTCCGTTTGTGCGTATACTACTGTAGTATTTTGGGTAAATTACATTTATTATTTTATCAGTCTTACATGACTTCCGGTTTGTTTTGGTAAATAAAACTGGTTCACGAGTCTACTTTTAATAGACTACAGTCCCTGACCTCACCATAACATTTATTTACTTTAGTTATTTTATTTATTGTCTCATTGTTATTCAGCTAACGTTTGTACATTACCCTGTGACTGTTGCCCTGTGGGTTATTCTGTGACTGTGCTGTGTTTAGCTTCACTTTAGCTTAGCATAATTTAATCAGACTTTATTTATTTATGGATTTATTTTTATATATTTTAATTATATATATTATATATATCCCTTCCATTGTCAGGTGATGGAAGCGTTTTGTTCCTGAACTGGAATGACTATAAAAACATATTTTTCTTTGTTTGTATATATATATGTTCGTATAAATCAAACATATACTAAGCAAATTTCCTGATTCAGGACCTGGACACAAAAGTGTTGAAACTAGTTCAATAGCATTTCTGGTTTTTAAATGATAATAATAATAATAAAAAAGTTCTCAAAGTTAAAACTTTCAAAAGTTCAAAACTTTTCCAGGAAGCCTGCGGTGTTGTTTCACACATATGGATATAAAACAAACACCCTCCCGCAGCGGTTTGGTTATTGGTCGATTAGGCGTCATTGATCGATACAGATGAGATTTGAACCCAACGGAAACCTGACTATTGATTTTTTTTATTTTTCCAAACTTCGCTTTTAGATTCTGCTTCTCTGACTCAGGCCTGTGTTAAAAAAACTTTTCAAACTCTCCCAACACCATGAAGGCAGAATGAGTTGAAGTTTTGGATTTAAAGTGTCTCTGACTCAGGCCTGTGTTAAAAAAAAAACTTTTCAAACTCTCTCAACACCATGAAGGCAGAATGAGAGTTGAAGTTTTGGATTTAAAGTAGGATTTTTCCTGTGTTTGTTATTTATTATAATCCCACAGAGGTATTGACATTGGGAATAACATAGGGTTGGCCTGCTGCTAATTTTACACTTTTAAAGTAAAACTATGTGAAAAAAAAGACTTCATTTTAAAGTAAAATAATTTTGGTGGGTGTTTAAAGTTGTTCAAAACATATAAACAGATCCAGACAGTCTGACTTGTCACACTGACGTCCTTCCCGGCACAGACTGCTATAACGCCGCTGCCTTATTCTCTCTGTACCGGCGTTCTCACTGTGTCTATTTTTCTAACAAAAACGTAAACCATTTACCCTGAAAATTAAATACAAATGTACAAAAATGTAATTTTCCGGTTCTCACGTGTCAACTGATTTGCGCCGCTTCGGGTGAAAACCACCAAAAATCGCCATCCAGGTTTTTACGCACGGTGCCAGCGAACTCATCCTCCGAGCGCTGCCTCTCAACCGCCACTAGAACTGGGGCGTCTTCTCCAGAACGGATTATGGAACAAATTTTCATGCAGCAGAAATCATTCTTCACATGTTTGCATTGGTTTGAAAGGAAATAGCTCAGCGGTCTCTTTGAAAGGGCGAATTTCAAATTCCACCATCGCTCAGTTCAATTATAAGTAAGAAGCCCCCCCACGGGGGTATTATAGAAATTAGGCTACGGTGTCTGCATGAATGAGTCTCCTTTTAAGTTCATTGTCTGCCCGGGATCTGACCGCGACTCTCGCCGATCTTTTGTCTCAGCCTCATGCGTTTTGGATCATTCGGTTATTGCCAGAACTTCACATTCGGACAATGGCTGCGTCCAGCGCACGGACGCCGGCCAAGGACCGCTGCCGTGGCGCACATTCCGCGCACAAACACGCGTCCTTGCGCGCTTGACATGCACAGAGTTGCCTTACCTTCGTTTGGAGGGTAGATGACGGAGGTGGCAGGGAAAACGCAGGAGAAGAAAAGGAGTAAAACAACAAGAAGTGATCGCGGAGTGCAATCCATGGCGGAGGATCAGAGGTACATAACTCCATGAAGCCACTGACTGATCTGAGCGTCTTCTCCACACTCAGCTTTCTCCCTCTCCCTCTCTCTCTCTCTCTCTCACCCGGGCTCCCTCCGGCTGGAGCACTTTTCCGCTGGGTCCTACAGAGTCCTACAGACAGAAGAACAGACAGACGGAAGAACAGACAGACAGAAATGCTGCACCAAGTTCTTCACAGGTCAGTGTATTTATGGACCTGAATCACTATGATCGAGCTCATTGAAAAAAAAGAGAGAATTGAGTCATAAAAAAAATACTGTATGAGTTCATATTATTATTATTACTATCAGGAGAATGAAGAGCAACTCCCAGGTTTACAAGAAGATAGTTTGAGGTTTATGACAGTGAGATTGTTAATTGAAAATTAAAAGTTTATCATTTATCACAGTGCTATAAGTTTACATGCAAAATGTTGTAATAAATAAATAAATGGAATCATAGTTTACTAGGAAACAGAGGTAATTGTAGGTGAATAAAGTTGTACGTTTATAGGAATAAAGCCTCAAATTCACAGGAATACATTTGAAACACTTTATAGGAATAAAGCCTCAAATTCACAAGAATACATATGAGAAAAAAGGTGCAGGTTCCACCGTAGAATAAAGTGGCAAGTTTATGAGAACAAAGTCGTAAAGTCGTAAATGTAAAGCCTCAAGTTTACTATGATGAAGTTGTGAGGCTACCAGAATTATGTCGTAAGTCTACGAGAACGGCCTGCAGGTTCATGAGAACAAGGTCGTAAATTTACCCAGAATAAAGATGTTAATGAGGTTAATGAAGAAAACACTGTCAGGTTACATGAATAAAGTTGTAGGTTTATAAGAATTTAAGCTATAAGTTCACACCAATAAAGTTGAAAAATAAAGTCATAGTTTACTAGAATAAAGTGTTGAATAGATCAGAATAGAGTCGTAACTTTTCAAGAATGAAGTCGTAATTCTAGGAGGTTGAGTTAAAGGTGTTGAGAATAAAACTGAAACTTTGACATGAATGATGTTGGAGTCGTAAGTTTACGAAAAAGAAGTTGAAGGTTCAAATAGTTGAAGGCTTTCAGGATTAGAGCCGAGTTTTAAAATAAAGTTGTGAATCTAGGAGAAAAAGTTGCAACGTTATGAGCATAAAAGTTGTTCATTGATTTTTGTGAATTAAATCTTCATATAAAAAGATAGAACGCCGTTAAAATTAATTTCAAAATTTCAAAGGATAAAGATATAATTTTCAAAAGTAAATGTTAACATCCAGTTTATGCAAAAAAGTTAAAATATTCTGAGAAACAAAGTTGTAAATTTACAACTATAAAGTTATAACATTAATAATATTATTATTACAGTAAGTTACCAAGAGTAATGTTATACTGCAGTAATACAGGAAGTGGAGTTTACAGATTCTTTCTCATGATATGAAAACGTATTCTCGACCTACGACTTTTTTTTTTCTTTTCTTGTCAATACTTCGTTGTTGAGAAACTCAGTGATTCAGTGCAGCTCACAGCAACTGTCCATCTAAAAAGTGAAATTTGAACCAATGGAATGGAGAAGGGAAAATATTAGACGTCTGTCAGGGAACAGAAAACAATGAAGCCAAATGTCCCTGTGACAAAGTGCTGTCATAATTCAACGCTCCCTCCACATCAGAGTTTTCTCCCAGGAAGTCACTTAAATAATAAATGTATACGACCTGCTTATTATTAGGGAATATGCGACCTGCTGGTACAGCAGGGTATCACTTTATAAACGATATTTATCCCAGTTCTGTGGCTGAGACCAATCCAGGACCTACAGGCTTTACTCTAATAATTGAGTGTAAATCAAATGAACATTTTTATTTCTATTTCTTCAACGGCTCAGTGGGAGAGCCGAGGAGCGCCTGATGGTTTTAATAAAGTGGCCGAAACTCGTCCGTGCTTCGGGTTCATACGTATGGAACAACTTGGTTTGATTTGGACTGAGCAGAAACCAACGCTTTAAATCTAAAAAAGGGGGAACAGCCAGCAGAACCATGTCATTTTTAATGTGGACCTTGGAATAGCTGGGACCTTATAAAAATTCTGGAACGAATATAATCCAGTTGTTTATTTTATGTTGTAATGAAATTTTGAAAGTCATTCAAGAAAAAAAAAACAGGACTTTTATTTTTTTTTTACTAAACTGCTGCACGTCATTATAAAACCAATAAAGTGAACTAACAGTTAGACCCAGTCTCAATAGAATTAAAACAAAAGCATTTATTGCCAAAGGAAGGCTTTTAGAGAAAAAAAACAAAAAAACAAAAACAAAACAGAAATGTACTAAATATTGGTTTACTTGTCAGGGTGTTTGCCAACCAAGAGACTCACACAGTTGGAATATATTTGTGTTCATTCTGACACCACAGTACTTTAACACTGAAAGGGTGGTACCAGTGTAATGTCAGGCCTGTGCTGAGACACCAGCTGTTGTGGTGGGGGTTGAAGGCTGGAGGTTCAGAAGGCATCTGACGTATGAGGAAAGGCAAACAACGAGGCCGACGACACCGACCGGGAGAACTCACTTCAGGAAATACAATACAATTGAATGTTTATCTGAACGGCAAAAGAGACGTTTTCTGTATGTTTTTGTAGAATAAGTAGTAGTAGCGGAGTATCAGCCATCCAGACCTGTCAACGTTCACAGATCTCTGTGTTCAAACTGCAGTTGAATGCGTGTGACCTGAAACTTCTCTGTTACTGTGTCAGACACGAGGCCCAGGATGACATCAGGACACCGCTAGCTTTTAGCACGCTGTCCTCTGTTCCTCCATGAGGCCGTAGTTGAATTTGCGTAGAGATCGTGGCGTGGACTGTTTTGCAAATTGTAAATGTCATTGTTATTTCTACCTCTGTGAAAATCAAACTTCATTTTAGGTTTAGGCTCAACAAAGACAATAATGTTTCTCTATGCTGATGACATTCACCTTTCATTTCCTTATGTTTTTTAAATGTTGCTTTAATGTATTATATTTATTGTATATGTTCTTAATCGCACCTATAAATATATTTTTAGTTAGTATTACAGTATAAGAGGATACTAGAAAATATTGTGAAATTTAAGTATTTCCTTTTTTGTGCTGCAACTTTTTAGGGGATCGGGTTTGTCATTTATAAACATTTATATACATACACCAATTATTGATATTATAACTGCTACATTTAAATAAAATTTTAGTTTTTTACTAAAACATACGTCAAACTTGATTTTTTTTTTTTAATTTGACAGTGTCCCTGTTCTGTACATTTTACTTCTTTCTTGTGTCCAGTACGTTTAATGAGAAACACAAACGACTTGAAAGTGATTGGAGGGAGCCGCGCCTCACCGAGGGATTTATGAATATCAGGTTGTCAGTGGATACGGAGAAGAATGATGCCAGGAGGTCTCTGGCCACATTATTAAGTGGCTGTGGCATGTGGATTTACAGGGGGCTTTAGACATGCCAGCCTCAATCATACATCATCTGCTACATCCCACTAATTCACTTATTACAAAGTGGAGTACATTAATACAGCGGCTGCACGGCCCACAATCACAAGCTGCTCCTCCCAGACTGCGACTTCACACACAACGGCCCGTCGGAGGAATTCGTCTCCATGAGAAACTCTCTGAGCCAATAACCAGGAAAATTAAACAAAAGTTTTTTTTTGTTTTCAGGTTTGCTTTCGGGAAGGGGAAGCAGGGAATTCTGGGCATATTTTGAATCCTAATCTGAATAACATTGGGATTTTTGAGGCATTTGAAACACCACATGGACGCTGCCGTGCAGTGAGTGTTTACAAATTAGAATTTTGCTCCATCCAAACAATAAGGAGGAGTGACAGTCAGTACAGAGTAAGTGATTACAAGCGTTCCCAGTGATTATGAGCGGGCGTATGAAGAGCGGCACTCTGACAGCCAAACATCATCAGTGGTGATTGTTTTCACATGGTGGTCTGAGGAGCACTGTCACTATGCCTTTAGTCAACAGTCCACCAAGTGGGTTCGGACTAATTGCTGAAAAATCTGTTTCAAATTGTGGTAATATGGAAAAATGCAGCGGGTCCCTCCCGTCTATCCAGCCCAGATATTTTTTCCCATCTTCTCACCGAGCTCTCGTCCACTCCTGATCTCCAGCCAGTGGAACAATCCAGTGTTAGATGGGAGGAAAATATTGATTTAGAGCAGCAGTAGTCAGCCATGATGTGTCCTGACATGGCTGGCTAGAACCCCCAAACTCGGGGAACAGATGTTGTTTGGGAGCGTCTTTGAACCTGCTACGTCCTGGCCTTCCTACACGGCAACACACAAACAAACAGGACGACTGTGTTTATTGCCCGCTGTCAGTACAGTCTTCCTCCCTGTGGTTCTGAGACGGCACATTCCACCATATTCACGGCTCACAGGACGACGAGGAGGAGGAGGAGGAGGAGGAGGAGGAGAAGCCAGCGGGCTACTGGCATGTAACACTACCCCACCACGCCAAACATCATACCAGGGACGCTTTTTTACCACTGCCAGCCGTAACACGGGACCTCACCCTTCTTCACCGTCCTTTTATTTTCCTAAAACACAGCAGGGAAATCTAACTGAAGAAAAGGGTGATGGGCTGTTGTCACTGAGGAGGGGTAAAGGGGGTGGGGGGTCCTTGTAGAGTAGCGGTCCCCAGAATTTTGCCTAACGGACTGGTGTTATGCAAGACAATTTTTCCAGCAGCTGACGTGTGTGTGATGTTTTCATGTACAACAAAGTGCTTTGTATATAACTGAATTATTATATACAATATATAATGTAAATACAATTAGTAGGTCAATAAGCTGAAAAAGTAATTACAGTGCAGATGTGAGTTGATAACAGTTATTCTTGATTAATCAAAATCCTTTATAGACCAAAAAAAAAAATCCTTTTTTTCTCACAGTGTGTGTAAATAACATGTGTATCGTCTGCATAAAAGAGCATCTTCCCAAAATAAATAATGGGATTAACAAGTTTATCTTTCATTTTAGGACCCGTGTAATCAGTGTAAAATTTCCTCTTTGGTGGAAAAATATGGCAAATGAGTCATGTGTTAAGAAGAAGACGGGCTGAAAGTGACCAACTTTCTAAATAAAATACCATGCAGGCTAACATTAATAAAAAATACATGTAT